CTCCAGGTAGGCCACCATCCACTCCTGCACTTGTCCCACCAGTGGTTCCATCTCCTTGTTGACACTCTCAGCACACAGTGCAGCCCCAAAGACAAAGAAGGCTACAAGGCGGCCCCAGTTGGGGCCCCCTTGGAAAAGTTCATCGGAGACCTGGGTGAAGCGTTGTTGGGCTGAGCCTGGGGTCACATGCAGCTGAGCCGCCAGATCAGAGAAGGTGCGCCGGAAGCGGGTCTCGAACTCATCTCCAGCTGCCCGCATTGCTTGGTGCAGCGGGTCAGCTGCTGGGCCCTCCCCGGGGCCAGCTCCACAGACATAACCCTTCTGCCTCAGCTTATAACCTACAAAGTCTGCCACCAGAGCCCGTGTGTCTGGGGCCGAGGCTGGGGTCGCCATCCGGGCGGCTATAAGAGGCAAGGATGAAAGACTGGCATGAATATATGGACAGAGAACCAGAAGGAGCATTTCTGGTTTGGCCAACCCAGTGAGATGGGGAGGAGGGAGGAAATGCTCAGAGCTCACTAGACAGGGAGAGACAAGAACAAGGGAATTAAATCATGATGGGGGACCAGGGTTCGAGAGGCTGGCCATTGTATCCTAATATGCAAAATTAAATGCAAAACAAGTAAATTTTATGTTTAGAATACTTTAGATTCTTTTCATAGTAAGACAAAGTCAGCTCTGTGACACCCCTACACACCTCCCCCTGCTCAGTCCTCACCTTCTTGGCTACAGGAGGGGGCTTAGGACCTCCCCAAATGCAAGATGTAAAGATGTTGGCAAAGGCACAAGATGAAGGGGAGCAGATGGGCTGAAGAGAAAGGTGGGAGACGCAATGGGTTACTCCAGACAGAGAAAGGAAGGAGACACTCACCCAGCCGGGATGCCAGCTCTTAAGACACAGCGCTGGTGGCAAGGAGCCCCCAGCTGGGGCCTTTCATCCTCCCGGCCAGCGTGGAGCCCTGGAAAGGGGAGGGGGAGATCAGAACCAGGAAGAGAAGGCCAGGGATCAGGGTCTGGCCTGGGAGGGCTGGGGTTGCAGCTCTGGGCCTGGGCCCCTGCCCCCAACGCTCTACCAGCTGTGTGGCCGAATCCATGTTTAATGACTGTCCTCCCAGGAAACCCAGGGCCAAGGGCTTCCTGCCGACACCATCTCTATTCCCGGTTCCCCCTAGTGCAGCCCAAAGGCCCAGCTCCTCCCTTACCCCCACCTCAGCCAGTCTCCAACCCCGCCCGCCTGCCAGGTTAGGGATCTCACGGGTCAGGCCGCTGCCGGGATCCGGGCCGTTTCCTGGTGCAGGAGCTGGGAGGGAGGGAGAGAGGGAGGAAGAGAGGGAGGGAAGAAGGGAGGAGAAAGGGGGGGGCAGAGGGAGGGCCCGGCGCCGGGTGATGATGGGGCCCAGAGATGCGTCCAGAGAGAGGGGCGGGGCTGGGACGCAGGCCTGCGAAGGGCCACTACTCAGGAAGAGGGAGGGCTGCTGAAGGCTAAGAAGGGCTGGCTGAGAAGGCACGGTGAGCTGGGCTGGGCTGGGCTCCTGAGCCTCGAGGCTGCCCAGAGAAGTATGCTGGACTTCAGGACATCTCGAGGCAAATTCAGCATTTCCAGGAGGTTTCCGATGTTCCATGCACTTGTTGAACTTCTCTAGCCCTGGATTGTGTGTGCCTGGAAAACAGGAGCAGTTCCCATTAAGCTGAAAACGTCTGCCAGGTGCCTTACCCTTCTGGGACTAGCAGACACCACACAGACACCAAACCTTTCCCATCCTCTTTTCTCCAGGACCTTTAACCCAGTGTTCTGTTTGTGGGCTGGGCTTCAGCCAGGCATCAGGGAGTCAGGACTTGGATCACAAGCAGTTTCTGCCCGTACTTTTCTTTAATTCTATTTATTATTTTGTAATAGATTTATTTTATTTTATTTTATTTATTTTTTTTACCTAACACATGAACTAATTCTTATGAAAAAAAATCAAATAAAGAGATACGGAGTAATAAAATACAGGTTCTCAAACACACACACACGCACACACACACACCCCCCATTCCACTTCCCTCCCTGCATGTTGCCAGTGTTAAGCTTGATGTTTATCTTTCCAGATTACATATATATGCGACCATTATTTATACATGGCAGTATATTTATATGGGGCAGATCACAAGGCATTAAGCAGTCTAACCACAGCTGATCCACATGAGGGCACTCACAGCCAGCCCCCTGGGCTCTTGGATCTGGCATTTCCTCCATTTAAACAGCACCCCAACCAAAGGCCTGAAAGAGGCAATCCAATTCTCCTTTTCTGCTAGTTCCCTTTGCTTCTACCTCCAATCCAAGCCTCGGTATTACCAACTGCCCTTATGGTCACTAGAGAAGCAAGGTCTTTTCTGTAGCAATAATAGTAACAACTAGCTGGGTTTGGTAGCTCATTCCTGTAATCCCAGCACTTTGGGAGGCTGAGGCAGGCGGATCACTTGAGGCCATGAGTTCCATACCAGCCTGACCAACATGACAAAACCCCGTCTCTACTAAAAATACAAAAATTAGCTAGGTGTGGTGGTGCATGCCTGTAATCCCAGCTGCTCAGGAGGCTGAGGCACAAGAATCACTTGAACCCAGGAGGCAGAGGTGGCAGTCAGCTGAGGTCATACCATTGCACTCCAGACTGTGTGACAGAAGGAGACTCTGTCTTAAAAAAAAAAAAAAAAAAAGGTAAAAACTAACATATTTTGAAGAGTTATTAGGTGCAAAGTGCTTTTTTTCTACTCTGAGATTCCCCCTTTTAACACTCTGAGGATGGTAAACTCCACCGTCTGGGCTCAAGCAATACACTTTATCTTCTTACCAATTCTTATGCTGTTTTACCCTCCTTCTATGAATGAGAAAATTGAGGTTTGGAGAGATTAAGTGATTGACCCAAAGCCATATACTGATATGTAAAGAGGCTAGGACTCCCATCTCATTCTGTAACTTTGACACTATTGCTTCAAGATCACCTCTTCCCTTCAAATAGTCAATATTGTTCTCATAGTCTGAATCCACACCATTTACAAGTCCACACTCAATTCTCTCCTCTATTCTAAACACACAGCCTATTATACTCCTTTATGGCTGTATCCTTTCAACCATCCTCATTTCTTTTTTGCTCTTAGCCTGATCATTCTGGTTGCTACCAGCAAAGTTGCTCCTTTCTTTAGAGAATAACCTAGTCCAAGTCTTCATATGCACTCCTGATTTGTTGGCTAGTTTGTTTGTGAGACAAGGGTCTCACTCTATGGCCTAAACTGGAGTGTAGTGTTACAATCACAGCTCACTTCCGCTTCCACTGTCTGGGCTCAAGCAATATTCCCACCGCAACCTCCCCGGTAGCTGGGACTAGAGATGTGCTCCACCATGCTTGGCTAATTTTTCATTTTTTATAGAGATGGGGATCTCATTATGTTGCCCAGGCTGATCTCGAACTCCTGAGCCAGCTTGATTGTAATATAAATTAATGTATGATTATTTTATACCCTAAAATATGAAAAGAATACATCCATGCATTCTATATATATGTATAAAATTTTAAAAAGTCAATATTGCTTTAAAAATGAGTCCTAGCTAAATAGTACTGCTACAGTCAATACTAGTATGAATGCATGCAAACAGGAATTAATTGTACAATAACAAGACGGCATGTGTCTCATGGTTCATTTTCAACTTAGTCACTTGTGGTTTTACAGTTAAACTATCCTGCTGCTTTAAATGTAGAGGCTTCATTTCTGCTCTAAGTTAAAAGTGCCCTTTTAACACTCTGAGGATGTTAACTATTATTGTTAAATGTTTTAATCTTATATAACCAAGTGGATAAGAGTATGGACTCTAGAGCTGAACTGTTTAGGTCCTAATCCCACCTCCCCAATTATTAACTATGTGGCCCTGGGCAAGAGTCCTCTCCCCTCTGTCCCTCACTTTTCTCATCTTTAAACTAGGCACAATAGTCTTTATTCCTCTGAGGGTTGTATTACATCAGTTAGTATTTGTAAAACCATTACAACAGTACCTAGCACATTTTAAGTGCTATATAAAATCAGTAGGAAAGTTAGAAAAAAACCTAAAAACACTTCACATTTTTTTTCACTAATGTAAAAAAAACAAAAAAAAAATGAAAGGGGAAAAAGCCAGCTCTGCCCTTCTTGGAAGCACCCACTGGACCTAGAACTCCACATTCCCAACTCCAAGAGAGTTATTGAGTGCTCGTTCATTCAATAATTTGAGTGCCTACCATGTACTAAAACTCACCGTTAATCAGACAAAGCCCCTGCCCTCAAAGGGCTTACGTTGGGTTAGAAATCAGAACTCTTACCACTTTTTTACAGACGAGAACACTGAATTCAGAGTATGGCATGATGGCTCACATCTGTAATCCCAGCACTTTGGGAGGCTGAGGCAGCCATATCACCTGATATCAGGAGTTCGAGACCAGCCCAGCCAACATGGTGAAACCCCATGTCTACTAAAAATACAAAAATTAGCCTGGCATGGTGGTGGGCCCCTGTAATTCCAGCTACTCAGGAGGTTGAAATAGGAGAATCACTTGAACCCAGGAGGGGGAGATTGCAGTGAGCCAAGATCACGCTACTGCACTCCAGCCTTGGTGACAGAGTGAGACTCTGACACACACACACACACACACACACACACACACACACACACACACACAGAGGGAGGGGGGGGGGGGGGGTGGGGGGGGGGAGAGAAAGAAGTTGGGAACACTGAGTCCAGAGAAGCGATGCCTTGCTTGCTCAAGGTTACACAGCTAAATAGCACCAGACCTTGGACAGTTCTTAGTTAGGGTGCCACATTCTCACCTTCTATTTGAAAGACTCTACCTAGCTTCGTGACCTTTCCTTCTTTGCACCCACCGCCACCGCCTGCCCAAACCAGGAGCCTAGGTTTCAGAAAAGAAAACGGTGAACCCCGAAGACAAAGTCACATGCTGGGCATTTTTAACCCTCCGCTGCAAGAAAATGAAAGGTTATTTTTTCTTCCCGGCGTTAACCTTTCCTGTGCTGTGCGGGAAATGTTGAGGACTTTTTAAAATTTTAACATTATTATTATTGTTGTTGTTGTTGAGATGGGGGGGTCACACTATGTCGCCCAGGCTGGTCTTGAACTCCTGGCTTCAAGCGATCCTCCCACCTCGGCCTCCCAAAGTGCTGGGATTCGAGGCGTGAGCCACCGCGTCCGGCCCGTGGATGTTTTTTAAAAAGGCTGAGTGGCCTCACTTGGGACCGAAAAGGTGAAGTCCCCGCCCCGTGGTGCAGCAGCGAAGACAAGCGGAGCCACCTGTCAGAGGGCTGTGGGCGGGGGCCGGGGCCGTGAGGGCCTTGGAACCGGAGGGTGAGCGCCGTTGAGCGCACGCTCAGAGCAGACCGCTCGCAAGGAGGCAGGATGTGATAGTCTTAAGACCCTGGAAGCTGACGGCCAGAGGGAGGGAAAGGTGGTCACAGAGGAGAGGCAAAGCAACCGGAGGTAGAGGATCCTGGAGGTGACTGCAAGGAGAGTACGCAGGGGCGAGGGGCTGCAGAAGCTGACCCTGCGACTTCTGCGCCGACGCGGGGCGGGCGGGAGAGAGGAGGAGAGGGCAGCGCGGCGGCGCTGCGGGCTGGCCCAGTCGGGGAGGGGGCTGCCATGTCCCGTGAGCGACCCCCCGGCACCGACATCCCCCGCAACCTGAGCTTTATTGCCGCGCTAACGGAGCGCGCCTACTACCGTAGCCAGCGGCCCAGCCTCGAGGAGGAGCCGGAGGAGGAGCCAGGCGAGGGAGGGACGCGGTTCGGGGCCCGATCCCGCGCTCACGCACCAAGTCGGGGACGCCGGGCCCGGTCTGCACCAGCCGGAGGCGGCGGGGCTCGGGCGCCCCGCAGCCGTAGCCCAAACACCCGCAAGAGAGTGCGTTTTGCCGACGCACTGGGGTTGGAGCTGGCCGCCGTGCGCCGCTTCCGTCCCGGGGAGCTGCCCCGGGTGCCCCGCCACGTGCAGATCCAACTGCAGAGGGACGCCCTCCGCCACTTCGCGCCCTGCCAGCCCCGCGCCCGCGGCCTCCAGGTAGGCGGCGGGGGCACCTCCCCTCCTGGGGACCTTCCCCAGTCGGCCGCAGCGGGCAGGTGGGAGTGGATTTGCCAAGGAGCACCCATCTCCATCCCATCCCTGGGCTTGCGCCTGCCCATCCCTTTTTGGGTCCCCCATACGCGAGTGGCTCTAGGCCACCCTGGCAGCTGGGCCGCACTGTGCAGGCCCGGACGCCGGGTTCGGCCTCTGATTGGCCCAGCGCCTCGCTCTGACACCGCCCCTGTCTCTCCCCTCTCTCCGCCTCGGGCTCCCTCCTCCCGCTTCTTCTTTCCCCCAGGAGGCGCGCGCCGCCCTGGAGCCGGCCAGCGAGCCCGGCTTCGCCGCCCGCTTGCAGGCGCAGCGAATCTGCCTGGAACGCGCCGAGGCGGGCCCGCTGGGCGTGGCCGGGAGCGCGCGCGTGCTGGACCTGGCCTACGAGAAGCGCGTGAGCGTGCGCTGGAGCGCCGACGGCTGGCGGAGCCAACGTGAGGCCCCCGCCGCCTACGCCGGCCCGGCCCCGCCCCCGCCGCGCGCCGATCGCTTCGCCTTCCGCCTGCCCGCGCCGCCGATTGGGGGTTCTCTGCTCTTCGCCTTGCGCTACCGTGTGACAGGTCACGAGTTCTGGGACAACAACGGCGGCCGTGACTATGCTCTACGAGGGCCCGAGCACCCAGGCAGTGGCGGAGCCCCGGAGCCCCAGGGCTGGATCCACTTTATCTGAGACGAGGCACCTGCGGCCGACGGCGGAAAACCCCAAAGGCACCCGGGGGGACCGATGTGGTGGGGAGGAATAGGAGAGACCAGGATTGGCGGGGAGGACGAGGAGGGTGGAGAAATCAGGAGCGGGGTGGGCCGAATCAACGAAGCTCGGGGAGGGAGATCGGGTTGTTAAAAGCTGGTCGGATGTGAGCAGAAGGAACCCCAGGGTATAGGAGGAAGGAAACCCTACACCGCACCCAAGGGATTAGGCAAAAGGAAAAGAATGGGGATGATGGTGGCTTTCCCCTCAGTGAGTGGGCACTGGGAGAAAGGGAGGAGGTCCATCAGGCCTAGGCAGTTGAAGAAGGTTAAGAACCTTTTGGGGATGGAGGAGGTATGATGTAAAGTAGCCCACCCAGTCGAAGTCATTTCGATTGCGGGCGCATTCCCTCTTCTTACCCGCCTTTTCCACCTCAGGTCCCCTTGTCCTGCCAATCCTAGCTTTAACTCAGCCATAATTGCCTTGCTTAATCCCAGGAACCTGGCCATTGCCCCTTGGTCCTTGGCGTTATGACGGGATTCCCTTGTCACCACTGACAGTTCCTGGCTGCGGTGTCCGTGGACTGGCTGGGGAGTGATGACAGGTAGCCGTCAGAGCTCCAGCCTCCAGGCAGCTTCAGGGATTAAAATGGAGGCCAAAGCAACTCCAGATCTGTTCTTATAGCCAAATACTGAGGTGCCTAAGGGGTTGGTACACTCAGGGGCTTCCAGGAAAATGCCAGCCTTACTTTTCTGGGGTGCCTTTTAATAACCTCCAAGCACTTTATGGACTGTTTGTCGAGGGACAGTGAATCAGGAGAATCACTATTCCGATTTCTTTTGCCTCCGAAGAGGAAGTCCCTGACTAGCTATATAACTTTGGGCAAGTTACTTCATCTCTTTGTGCCCCAGTTTTTCCCTTGGGAAATTGGATTTAGGTTAGGTGATCTTTGAAGGCCCCTTGTATGATATGTTGTGATCTGTACATGGCAGAGTATAGATTAGAAGCCACATTTTCCAACCTAGTGCTATGGTTCAGAACACAGAGCACCCCAAGCGTTTGGCTGAAGCCAAGGATGGGTCCTCTGTTTTTTGGCACAGATGTTCGAGAGTCCAGGAAGCATCCCATAACCAACCTGCAGCCTCACCTCACCCCAGCATATTCCAGAGCCCCTTCCAAACCACAGCTCATCCTCTGCTTCATTTTGCTCTTGCCCTCACAGACTTCTAGCCTCCATGGTCTGAGACAACTATATCTCTGTTGGTGAAAATGATGCTTGAGAACCCAAAAGATTAAAGGAAACAATGTTAAGGGCTTTTGTGGGGATAAAAGATAATGGGTATATGGAATAGAAACATTTCAAATGAAGAATCAAAGCATTTTAGTCAATCCACATGGTTGTTAAAAAAAAAAAAAAAAATGGCCAGGCACAGTGGCTCACATGTGTAATCTAAGCACTTTGGGAGACTGAGGTGGGCAGATCACCCGAGGTTAGGAGTTCCAGACCAGCCTGACCAACATGGAGAAACCCTGTCTCTATTAAAAATACAAAAAAATTAGCCAGGCGCGGTGGCACATGCCTGTAATCCCCGCCACTTGGGAGGCTGAGGCAGGAGAATCACTTGAACCCAGGAGGCAGACGTTGCGGTGAGCCAAGATTGCGCCATTGCACTCCAGACTGGGCAACAAAAGTGAAACTCTGTCTCAAAAAAAAAGCATCAAAGCAACTTGAATAGTAAATGGTACCAGAAGATGGTCTGCTCCATAACCAGAGCAAGTGCAGTGGGAAAGCTGGACTCTCATACCCACTCACCTTCATGCCTTATGCCTCTCCTCCTGGTTAACCTTAACAGGGGAGTGATTCCTCTCCTGGTTGCTGTTTTTCCTTTTCTCTTACCCTATTCCTAACCTCTTTACTTTTCTCTTTCTTTCCTTGTCTCTCTCCCTTCTCATCACTTTTTTTCTTTTAACATATAGGGCATTTACCTTACTTTAGTCTATTTCCATTTGTTTCCATCTTCATTCTTGTTCATCTCTGCTATTCCTTCTCCCGCCAGAAGGGATGGAAACCCTATTTGCTTTTCTCAAAGCCCATGGTTGGTCTACTTTCCTCACTCAGGCTCCTTGACAGTCTTCTAGAAGAGAGAAGAAGGAAAAGAAGCAGTTCTTGATGTTACAAATGAACAAGGATCTTCCAGGTAACCAGCTCCCCACACCCATTTCTGTTATTGATTTCTCAAAGAGAAATTTCTGGTTCCCCCTCTTCCTTATCACTGAGTGAAAGGGGATGGGCATGTTCACGTGCCCATACATACATTCAGAATAGAGTGTGGGGCAGGCTGTGCTGGCTCACACCTGTAATCCCAGCACTTTGGGAGTCCAAGGCAGGCAGATCATTTGAGGTCAGGATTCAAGACCAGCCTGGCCAAACATAGTGAAACCCCATCTTTACTAAAAATACAAAAATTAGCCAGGTGTGGTGACTCATGCCTATAATCCCAGCTACTCAGGAGGCTGAGGCAGGAGAATCGCTTGAACCCGGAAGGCTGAGGTTACAATGAGCCGAGATCGCACCACTGCACTCCAGCCTGGGTAACAGAGTGTGAGACTCTGTCAAAAAGAGAGAGAGAGAGAGAGAGAGAGAGAGAGAGAGAGAGAGAGAGAGAGAGAAAGAAAGAAAAAGAAAGAAAGAAAGAAAGGAAGGAAGGAAGGAAAAGAAAAGAAAAGAAAGAAAGAGGAAGGAAGGAAAGAAAGAAAGAAAGAATAGAGTATGGGGTTTGTTACCATGCCCCTCCTGTCCACAGTCTTAGTCTTTGAGAAAAGTTGGCTGAAAGAGAGGAGTCCCCAAGTCATTCCTGAAACAAATGCCCTTATCTTGTGAAGAAAACAAGAAGAATTTCGTGCACCATGTGAATCACCTTCAGTTCAAAGTTGCAGCAAAATGAAGAAACTACTGGAAGCTGCCAAGCAATGCACTGTTGAGTCATCAATTAGGAGCCCACAGGAGGATAATAGAGAGGGAGACTGGGTGGAGGCTCAGTGTGGAACAATCTCTTGTCTAATGTATGCTTGTCACTGCCATGTTGTATTAATAATGAGAGGTCACATTTACTTAACACTTGTGTGCTAAAATCTGGGGTTTTTTTCTTTCCAGAACCATGACTCGATCATAAAATCTGTTTTGTTTGTATGCATGCCCAAAACCACCCTATGAGTAAAGCATTATCATTATCTCTGATTATAGCTGAGGAAACAGGCTCAGAGAAGCTCAGTAATTTGTTCAAGATTTCACAGCTAGTAAATGGCAGAAGTAGGATTGTGAACCCAGGAAATCTCCAGAGCTTCCGTGTAACCGTGATGTTATATTTTTTTCCTCTTTAAAAACAATATTAAAAACCTTGCTATATATTATTTCTTATTAGGAAAAGACCATAGTTTCTGATTGTGCTCTGCCTTCCCGTCCTGCCAGTCTCCTGGACTGGCTTGGAGAAGACAGGGGGGTCCCAAGCTTCATCTGTGGCTCGAAGGAGTTTGCTGCTGTCTCCTGTGCCAGTGTCCCATCTCTGCAGGATCAGCACAGGATACCCCTCGCCTGCCTGCTTACACTCCAGCCTTGCCATACATTGGAATTCTCTCCTGACCCGAGCCAACACTCCACACCTGTTGGTGTGCCACTTCCCTCCCTCTTCCCCGACTGGCATTGAACAGACAAACCCCTCTAATGTTTCCACTAGGTTGGGTCCATGATTAGAACACCTGCTACATGGTCTGTGCTTGGGCCTTTTGTGGGAATCCTAATGTTACTGGGTAAATGCCAACTCTGACTGTGGGCAGAAAGCTAATGATAATCTTGTTCCCTAAGCTCTTTCTCAGAAGTACGCTGGCTTACTCCCCCAATGTCGGCTTTATAGAACAACATTTTTGTCTTGATTCTTCCCATATTGAGCTGCCCCTGGGCTTAGGTAAGCTGTTAGTTTCCCCAACTGCCTCAAGGCTGGGTCTGGCTGAGCTACCTTCCTGTGCACACAAATAACAGGCGTCTCCTTGGAACCTGACTTACTATCGGTGCCACCAAGCCTTGTAAAATAGGAAAGAAACTAGTATTTCTTGAGTGACTTCTGAGTGCCTGGTTCTTTCAAGGCTGTCTGGAGAGATTCCCTGCCCTGATACCATTGGTGTGTACTCTTATCCCAGGACTTCAGCACTGAGATTCTCCCAACCCCCTGGCTTTTCCTCACCTTGGGTTGAACCCATGCAGCATCACCACAAAACCCACCATCTGCAAATCAACCAAGATTAGGCGGTGTGCCCTTTCCATCTTGCACTACTCTTTCCAAAACTTCCACCTGTATTTCCCACAGCCCCAGTAAGCAAAGCAGAGTGTGCCTGGACACAGCAGCATCCACTGCTTTCTCCCAGCAGGTGCAGTCTCATCGGACACCGGGACACTCAGAGTTTAGCGGAATCTTCAGCCACCCTATTAGTGTGTTATGCATTAGGCATTGTGGTAGAAACTCCTCTGACAGCTCATGACTAATGAACAGGAGCAATTTTGAATATGTCAGCCATGGACTGGGAAGTGCCATAAGAGAAAACACTACCATGGTCAGAGGCTTGGGTCTTTGAGACACCCAGTAGAAATACTGTGGCCCATTCCTCTCATCCAGACTGCAGATACCTTCCTACACCTACCTGTCCCATAGCCTCCTTTGTGTTCCTTTGTTTTTCTTTGTGAATGCAGAAAAACCTTTCATTATGAGCCCCAGCTCCTCAGTTTTCCATCTAACACCCACATTCCCTTGTTTCTAACTCCTGTGTTTTTCTGGAAACTGTTTGGATCTTCGCAGTTTGCAGGTCACAGAATCAGACCTGAAAAGGCTTCCCTTTAGAGATCATTGGATCCAGGCTTCTTTACAGATGAGAATACAGGTCCAAAGGTGAGAAATGACTCTAGTAGGGTCATAGAATTTGTTAGTACAGCTCAAAATGGGCTTAAATCTGGGCCTCCTGATCACATCCCACTCCCAGGCTAAGAAACGGGTCTCTGCTGGCTGTGGTGGTTCACACCTGTAATCACAACACTTTGGGAGTCTGGCTGAGACAGGAGCATTGCTTGAACCTGGGAGTTTAAGACCAGCCTGAGCGACATAGTGAGACCTTGTCTCTACAAAAATTTTAAAAATTAGCTGGACATGGTGGCACGGGTCTGTAGTCCAGCTATTCAGGAAGCTGAGGCAGGAGGATCGCTTGAGCCCAGGAGTTGGAGGTTACTGAGCTATGATCGCATCGCTACACTCCAGCCTGGGTGACAGTGAGACAGACCCTCAATTAAAAAAAAAGGGAGAGAGAGAGAGAGAGAGGTCTCTACACAAACCCGTGATTTTTCACGGCAAGGTATAACATCAGAAATGTTTCATTTTCTGCTGTTAGTTTCCATTCCTTTCCCCACCTAGGTGTAAAGAGAAACAAAAGGCAATGACAGTATTCTCTGTGTCCCCAGCTTTGGCACTTTTATTGATGTTGTATAGAGCAGTGACTTTGCTAGAAAGACTGAATAATCCACCCACTGAATAGCTAACCTGGGGAGGAAATGAAAATTTTCTATGTGAATCTCCCCAAAACCGTTGTCACCAGGCCCTCCCAGAACTTCCCCAGTTCCTTCCAGTGCAACCCTGTGCACTCAGCCCTCAACCCAATAGTATTGTGCCTCACTTTACCTTCCATGGGCAACTGCCCTCCCTCCTGGACATAAAACCTCATATTTTAAATAAAGTTGAAATATGAAAAGAAAGTATGTCATTAGACATTCGGAAGTATTGTTTGTTTGGGGCTAAGGGTAGCAAGAGACTCAGAGGCAAGATTCCCTCCTTGACTCTCAATCTCTTGGTCATCTTGTTTCTTTTTTTGTGTGTGTCCAGAAAAATTTAATAGGTTTGCTTATTATTATAAAGTTGAACCACTGATTCGCTGAAACATTTTGACTTACACTGATGTTTTAATGTAATGAACTTTACATCCCCACCCACATTCATATTAAGAATTCACACACAAATGAAAATTGAAAAACTGACAACACCTGACTTCTGTCTCCTACTTTTCTGCTCACAGTCATATACTTAGGTACCTTTTGACCCCCATGGGGAAAGAACTACCAATGACATCCAGAACTACCAATGACAGGAAGCAGAGACTTTTTCTCTCGTTTGAGAATGAATGTTTCCCCCTTCATAGTGGATTCTTAAGCGTGTTCTCCACGCATGCGGAGTGCTAGCTGGACGTCTTTTGACATAGGTATTACATATTTGGGATGGACAACACACAGGCTGGTGTCTTCAAAAAGGCCAACCAGATAGGCCTTGCTTGCCTCCTGCAAAGCATCAATAGCTGCACTCTGGAAGAGCAGATCTGTTTTAAAGTCCTGAGCAATTTCTCACACCAGATGCTGGAAGGGAAGTTTGCGAATCAGTTCTGTAGATGTCTGATAATGTCTAATTTCATGGAGTGCTGCAGTACTAGGCCTGTAATGACTATGTTTTTTCAACCCTTCAGTAGAGGGTGCACTCTTATAAGCAGGCTTTTGTTTTTTTATTTTTTCTTTTTCGCTCCTCCCCCTCTTGTTAGTTTTTTGTTTTGTCTTGTTTGCTCTGTCGCCCAGGCCGGAGTGCAGTGGCGCGATCTTGGCTCACTGCAACCTCTGCCTCCCAGGTTCAAGCGATTCTCCCTGCCTCAGCTCCCCGCCCCCGCCCCCAGTATCTGGGACTACAGGTGCATATCATCACACCCGGCTAATTTTTGTATTTTTAGTAGAGATGGGTTTCACTATGTTGGCCAGGCTGGTCTTGAACTCCTGACCTCAGGTGATTCACCTGCCTCAGCCTCCCAGAGTGCTAGGATTACAGGCATGAGCCACCACGCCTGGCCAATTTTTGTGGGTTTTGTTGCTGTGGTTGTTGTTGTTTAAGATGGAGGCTTGTTCTATTGCCCAGGCTGGAGTGCAGTGCTACGATCTTGGCTCACTGCAACCTCCGCCTCCCGGATCAAACAATTCTCCTGCCTCAGCCTCCTGAATAGTTGGAATTACAGGTGCCCACCACCATGCCCGGCTAATTTTTGTATTTTTAGTAGAGACGGTGTTTCATCATGTTGGCCAGGCTAGTTTCAAACTCCTGACCTCAGATGATCCACCTGTCTCAGCCTCCCAAAGTGCTGGGATTACAGGCATGAGCCACTGCGCCCGGCCCCCAATTTTTTGTATTTTTTAGCAGAATTTTTGCCATATTGGGTTTTGCCATGTCGGGCAGGCTGGTGCTTTTGCCATGTTGGGCAGGCTGGTGTCCAACTCCTGACCTCAAGTGATCTGCCCTCCTTGGCCTCCCAAAGTACTGCAATTACACGCATGAGCCACCTCACCTGGCCCAAGCAGCTTTTGTAGCCAGTTGCTTCCTGAGTGCTTTACCACCAGTTTGTGAGCAATTTGCTTTGTGTGAGACTGTGAGAGAGACCTCCTTACTTACTACCCTTCTTTTGCTAGCTAGAGTTCCGGGAGCTAGAGGCGGTGCTGGTTAGAGAGCTACCTAATTTCTTAAAAGCCCTATTCTCCTTCTGCTGAAATCCCCTCTGGCTATGCAAAACGCTGAGGGGAAGGAGCTTTGGAGGAGTTAGGCAGCCTTGGTGTAAGACACTCCTAACGGGATCCTATCATCATTTTGGGCAGTGCAAAATTCACCAGGGCCCAGCTTGTCTCTGGCACCCAGCACCAACTGCTTTAACCAACAGTTAAAGGGAAGAGCTTGAGAAAAGCCCTGCATTCTCCTTGGGTCGGGGAATCCTTCCTTAAGGAGGCCATCTGAGTTACATTCTGCTCCTTAAGTGCTGGGTGGAAGAGCAAAGCTCTTATCAAATGCAACCCCCGAAGGCAAAGAAGGAGAAATATGGAAAGGAAAAGCAAAGACCTCTGTCTAATTCAGAATGGAGTGATTATAAAAGAAAGGAGTCAGCTGGGTGCAATGGCTCACGCCTGTAAATCCCAGCACTTTGGGAGGCTGAGGCAGGTGGATTAGGAGGTCAGGAGTTAGAGACCAGCCTGGCCAATATGGTGAAACCCTGTCTCTACTAAAAATACAAAAATTAGCCGGGCATGGTGGCTTGCACCTGTATTCCCTGCTACTTGGGGAGGCTGAGACAGGAGAATCGCTTGAACCTGGGAGGCAGAGGTTGCAGTGAGCTGAGATCGCGCCACTGCACTCCAGCTGGGGCAACAGAGTGAGACTCCATCTCAAAAAAAAAAAAAAAAAAAGGAAGGAGTCCTTGAAAAAGATTAAGTTCTAACAGGATTGACTTCTACATCACTTGAATGATGAAAGAATCCAATTACCCACAAAGTAATTAGAATGTTCCTAATAGGGAAGCCCTAGCCTGAGAATAACAGATGCCTCCTCATTACATCATAATGGCCAAGCTGTGATGTCAGCACAGAGCACCCACTCTTGAATAAGTGTTGTAAGTGAAGCCAGATATGCTGAAGAGCAGAATCAGCATGAGGAGCAGACATCCCAGGAGAGGTAAGTGGGTTCTCTCCATGGCTTATTGCCCAGAATCTCTGTGGCCCCAACCTCATTGCAGACTTCGCACATCTTAATTTGGGGTTAGGTATATCTGAATTTTTTTCCAAAAAATTTCAATGCAGTATTTGCTATCCCAAGTCTATTGCAAATCCTCAATCATTGCAGTTCTTACTGTCAGCCCACCAGCTCTGGTATTTCTTAGGAGACAGAGTACAGGGTACTGGGGGATAATTTCCCCAAATGGCACAGAAACTCAGCACATCCATTTGGTTAGTCCCAGGGGTAGATCCAAGTTTTTGGGTGCCTGAAGAGTGCAACTTTTGGAGCCCCCTTTAAGAAAATTAAATACAAAATTAGGGGGAAAAAGTGAATATATGTTTTAGAATGAGAAAAGCTGTCAACAATTATCTACCCAACAACCTATATTTCTCTACAATTTTTTTTAAAGCTGTATGCTCTTTGATAGACTTTTCTATATGTTTTCCCAAAGAGAAAAGTAATTCTGTCTTCCAGAAAGATTGATCATATTTCAAAAATCCCCCACCTTTTTTTTGAGACAGGGTCTCACTCTGTCAGCCAGGTTGAAGTGCATTGATTAGACCATGGCGGACTGGAGCCTTGACCTGCCCAGGCTCAGGTGATCCTCCCACTTCAGCTCCCCAAGTAGCTGGGACTACAGATACACCACCACACCTGGCTAATTTTTTATATTTTTTTGTTTCCCAGGTTGGTCTCGAACTCCTGGCCTCAAATGATCCACCCACCTTGGCCTCCCAAAGTGCTAGTATTACAGGTGTGAGCCACTATGCCTGGATCCTAAAGGCCTCATTTTAACACAGTTACCTCTTTTATCTCCAAACACAGTTACATTCTGAAGTACTAGGGGTTAAGACTTTAACATGAATTTTTGGGGGAGTTCAGTTCATTATGTTATACCTACATGGGGATAATTTATTCACAAAAGTAACAGCAAAACACTTAAGTGTACCTACTAAACCCACACTAAATGTATTCCTGCCAGGCACAGTGGCTCATGTCTGTAATCCCAATACTTTGGCTGGCCAAAGTGGGCAGACTGCTTGAGCCCAAGAGTTCAAGACCAACCTGGGGAACAAAAAAATATAAAAAATTAGCCAGGTGTGGTGGTATGCCTGTAGTCCCAGCTACTTGGGGAGCTGAAGTGGGAGGATCACCTGAGCCTGGGCAGGTCAAGGCTTCAGTGAGCCATGATCCAACCAATGCACTTCAACCTGGGTGGCAGAGTGAGACCCTGTCTCAAAAAAAAAAAAAAAAAAAAAAAATGTGGCCAGGTGCAGTGTCTCACGCCTGTAATCCCAGCACTTTGGAAGGCCAAGGCGGGTGGATCATGAGGTCAGGAGTTCAAGACCAGCCTGGCCAACATGATGAAACCCGTCTCTACTAAAAATACAAAAATTTGCTGAGCATGGTGATATGTGCCTATAATCCCAGCTACTCAGGAGTCTGAGGCAGGAAAATTGCTTGAACTGGGACCTGGAAGGCAGAGGTTGCAGTGAGCCAAGGTCGAGCCACTGCACTCCAGCCTGGGCTACAGAGCAAGACTCTGTTCTCCACTAACAACAACAATAACAACAACAACAACAACAACAAACTACCACCAAAATGTATTCCCAACTCCTTTAGCCAATCCCAAAATGTCCACTGCCACCTATCAAAAGGAGACGTGATGGAGGGGGAATCAAAGGAAAGAGAGCTCAATCTTATTTATTTTTATTTTTTGGCCTTAAAAAACTTATTTTTTTATTTCAATAGTTTTGGGGAACAAGTGGTGTTTGGTTACATGGATAAGTTCTTTTTTTTTTTTTCTTTCTTTTTTTTTGGGGGGGGGAATGGAGTTTTACTCTTGTTGCCCAGGCTGGAGTGCAATGGTGCAATCCCGGCTCACTGCAACCTCTGCCTCCTGGATTCAAGCAATTCTCCAGCTTCAGCCTCAGCCAATTTCTCCATGTTGGTCAGGCTGGTCTTGAACTCCTGACCTCAGGTAATCCACCCACCTCAGCCTTCCAAAATGCTGGGATTACAGGCATGAGCCACCACACCCAGCCATGGATAAATTCTTTAGTTCTTTAGTGGTGATTTCTGAGATTTTGGTGCACTGATCAGCTGAGCAATTTTCACTGTATCCAGTGTGTAGTCTTTTATCCCTCATCACCCTCCCACTCCCCCCCCACCCCCGCCCCGTCCCCAAAGT